AGCCGCTGTGTCATGGATCTATGATTTGAGGGCCTTTCTATTGAGATCCAGCCTCCACTGCAAATGGGTCGCACTGACACTCAGCTCTCATCCTGCTCTAATTGAGGCTACAAAGTAAAGCTCTTCATGATTTCATTACCTATCATTGCAGCCTTGAATAAGGGGGCATCCAATTCTCCTGAAACATGTTTGCTGTATCTGACATTTCCTTCCCAATAAACATCCTAAATGAACCTTCAAGCAAGATGAGCGGTTTTTAAAAGGTAGCACAGTGGCTTAGTGGTTAGCACCTCTGCCTTGCAGCACTGGGAATCCCTGGTTCATATCCTGCTCAGGAGACTTTCATGTTCTCCTCCAAGTACTCTGGGTTCCTTGCCCACTACAAAGACATTCTAGTAGGTTAGTTGGCCCCTAAATCAGGCCTAATATGTAAGTGTATGTGAGATGGGACCTTAGATTGTAAGTTCCTTGAGGGCAGGGACCGTTGTGCATGTGCGGTATGTAAAGCACTGCGTAAATTGTAGGTTCTATATGCAGTCATGGCCAAAAATATTGGCACCCCTGCATTTCTGTCAGATAATTCACCACTTCTTGCAGTAATTGGGAAACAGCAGTTGGGAAAAGGAACCCTTCCAATTTGAGAGACCTGGAGCAGTTGGCAAAAGAAGAGTGGCCCAAAATTCCTGTAGAGAGGTGTAAGAAACTCATTAATGGTTACAGGAAGCCATTGATTTTAGTTATTTTTTCCAAAGGGCTGTGCTAGCAAATATTAATTGAGGGTGCAAATAATTTTGTCCAGTCCAATCTTGGAGTTTTGTGTGGAATGTGTCAGGTTTGGCTTTTTTTCCCTCCACTTTGTGTCATACCAATACAAACAAAAGAAATAAACATGAGAATGCCTAAACATTTGTCATTGCAACAATTTTCTGCGCAAAGTGGTGCATTATCTGACTAAAATGCAGGGGGGCCAATATTTCTGGCCACGACTGTAAGCACCAATATTATATAAATAAATAATCTATTTATCAACCAACCAACCAAATCCAGGAATTGATCTATTGATGAGCAATCCAGAGATTAACCAGGTCCATACATCACACACATACTGTTATCATAGGTTAACCCCCCCCCCCCCCCCCTTCTCATTTTTCAGGATTTACATCAAAACTGATTCCTACTCCTACTTGTCCAGCTGAGTTGGACACTGAATTCCAGGCAAACCGCCAAAAACAAAGATGACATAAATTCCACTGGAGGTCAATGCACACTGTCCAGATACTATCTGCCCGGTTGCACTGCAGTAAAGTAACATTAGTAGATAATGCAGACACTCACTGGTCTTGAGAAGTAGTATATGTCCAAACAGGAGGAGTGTATTCTATCTCCTTCTGAAGACATACACTCCTCCTCATGTGCCTCTACTACTTTCTATTTCTATCTATCTATTGATGTTACTTTGCGTGGGGGGCTTTAAAACAAGCCCTGTATGTGATAGTAAAGAAAAAGTGACCGGTCCTCTTTTTGGAGATATCAGGGGTCTATTAGACCCCTAATGTCACCTTTTGGACCCCATTGAAACTGGTGAAGCACAGATCGTGCTTCACTAACTTCTTCTCAGGCCACAGCAGCCCAAGAATTGACAGCTTGAAACCAGAAGTGTCAAAAAACTTGCTGCTTTTGGATTCAGTAACCGGAGGGAAGATTGGCAACTGGAATTGCGCTGATGTCCATCCAGCCAAGCTGCATATACCCGTAGTGCTTTTTAGGGCCCGCATGAGGATAGCCCGCGGCCGAGTGGGGAGGCTGCACCCTTTCCAGTATCATAAAAGTGATAGCCTCCCGATCATTTGTATGTGAAAGCGGCTGTAGACAGCAATACAGCAGGTGTGATCTTGACCATTTTTAACCACTTTACAATTGCAACATTTATATACACATTGTGGTCCCGAAGTGGTTAAAGATGCTTCCAGGCATAAGAGCATGTTTGCCCAATCTTGATAGTTTTTGTCAAGTTCATGTATAATGAGGATCTTGTGTCTCTAGCTGCCTTCTGACGTCTTGTGACCAAGAGTGGCCGAGTACTTGGGGGATGAAGTGTTCTGTGGGGATGGAGGTTCTCATCCTTTACCATTGTTTTCCCGTAAAATAGGATGGTGCTCAGATGTCTTCCCCCACATTTCCTCCTCCACAGACTAAAACAAACATTTTCTAGATGCAATTGTTCATGTTTGTACACATAATATATCTGTTAGGCCTAGTTCACACCTGGGCGTTTTGTAGCGCGTTCGAACACTCTGCAAAACGGCCTACGCCCAAAGAAGTACATGAGCTTCTTTGGGGCGTTTTTGTCGCGCGTATCCATTGGGATACAGCCAGGTAGCCCTCGGAAACGCGCGTTTGTCGTGCGGCACAAAACGCGCGACAAACGCGCATATTCGATACGCCTAGGTGTGAACCCAGCCTAATACAAAAGATTGTTTAGAAGCCAGATCACACATGCGGGTGTGTAGGTTGCAGTCAACAGGGCTGAAAAATCAAAGAATTTCTCTTTGAAACGTAGAAGCAGAAGAGTTATGGCAGAAAAATAAAAAGTGGTTTATCAAGTCTGCGCCTTTTTATTGATTATTATAATAATAGTTATTAGTATTATACAGGATTTATATAGCGCCAGCAGTTTGCGCAGCGCTTTACAATATAAGGAAGACATTACAATCACAATACAATTCAAGAAAAGATGGTAAGGAGGGCCCTGCCCATGAGAGCTTAACAGAGAACTATGGGGTAAGTGTTTTCCCCCATAGTTCTCTTAAGAGTCACGGAAGGACTTATACTAACCTCTTCCCGTGACCCACAGCTCAGTATATTGTGAGCTACAGCTTGCGGTATACTGAGACCGCCGCAGCCGGGGCGAATCCGAACAATGCTGTCGAGATGCACCCAGTTGCGTGAATGACAGCTGGCTCTGCCTATCTAGGGGCAGAGCCAGCTGTACCCGCCCCCTCCCACGTCCTTTCCTCCAGTCAGCGCTGTAGGATCGGAGATGGAGGAATCCCTACGGGGAGACGTGACTGACAGTCTCCGCTCTCTGCAGTGAGTGAGTGACAGTATGTGTTCGCTCACTTCCCGATCTCTTGAGCAGACTTGTAACAGTTTCATTGTCACACTTCGGCTAGAACTATGAGGATGAGTGAATTTCACTCACCTCATGGTTCTCCTTTAATCCTTTTGTTTGAATATGGATACATGTTTGTGCCATATATGTTTAAATTCACTTTCTGTTGACTGACTTACTAACTCTGCTAGAAGTCTATTCCCAGTATCAACTACTCTTTTATAATAATTATTTAAATCTGAACTAGCACAGAGTCTGTTACACAACAAGCCTTTTTGTATGAATAAAATTTGGTTCCCGATACATCTCAATGGCTTCAACAGCAATACGCATGTGGAAGAACTAAAACAAGCAAAAAAATATTAGGATGTATGTGTAACCACTCCTCAGCATGCCTAATAGGTATCCCACCACACTCTTGACCGTTATACCCTTTGTGGATGGGTGCTGAAATGGCGGCAGATGGCGCCCAATAGGTATCCCACCACTTTCTTGACCGGTATACCCCTTGAGGATGGGTGCTGAAATGGCTGCAGGTGGTGCCCTATAGGTATCCGACTGCACTCCTGACTGGTATACCCCTCAGGATGGGTGCTGAAATGTCTGCAGGTGACGCCCAGTAGGTATCCCACCGCACTCCTGACTGGTATACCTCTTGAGGATGGGTGCTGAAATGGCTGCAGAAGGCGCCCAATAGGTATCCCACCACTTTCTTGACCGGTATACCCCTTGAGGATGGGTGCCGAAATGGATTCAGATGGCGCCCAATAGTTATCCCACTGCACTCCTGACCGGTATACCCTGAGCTTGTACATCATATGGCCAAAAGTATGTAGACCTCTGCCCATCACACCATGGCCAAAAGTATATGGACATGTGTCCAAATTATTGAGTTTAGGTGTTTCCAGTAAGGGATATTGTTACAACCAGAGAATACAAAGACACTTTAGACAATTCTACCAACCTTGTAACAACAAGTTGGGGAGGGCCCTTGGGCACAAAGCCAGCTTCATAAAAACATGGCTTGATGAGCTTGGCATGGAGGAACTCAAGTGACTTGTACAGAGCCTTGACCTCAACCCTACTGAACATCTTTGGAAATAGATGAAATGGCAATTGCGAGCCAGGTCTTCTCATCCAACATTACCTCACAAATGCTGTTTTGGCTAAATGGGTACAAAGTCCCACAGATACACTCCAAAATCTCCCCAGAAGAGTGGAGGCTGTTAAAGCCACAAAAAGGGGCAACTCCATATTATTGCCCATGGTTTTGGAATGGGAGTTAAGTATCATGGTCAGGTGGTCACAAACTGTTGCGGATGTAGTGTGGTAAACTTTAACAGGCATCTTAAAAATGAGGTCCCTCTTGCTGGCTTGTAGCACCGAGTACTAAGTCAATGTGTTTGTTTTATGTACTTGTTATGAATTGGCCCCCTGAAGTGCAGCTCTCTTCTTATTAGTCAATGAGCTGCATGGTTCTTCTATTTTGTGGCTTTTCCGTAGATACTCAGGCCAATTGTTATAGGAAGAACAGGTCATCGGCCAGATTGGATTCTTCGATAAAGTTGATAAGTGCTGTGCTAGGTGTTGCTTGGCTGCGCTCCATACGTTTTCCTCAGCACACATTTCCATGCATGTTTGGGTGGTCCAGCCTTACATGTTTGTGCATCTACCTTCCAGTATCTTTGCCTAGCTTAACAGTGGCCATACACAGCCCGATCCATACAAGCAGTGCTACCATTGTTAGAAATGTTTGTAAAAATCAACCTAGAATTGGTTCTTCTCAAATGGCCACCCATTGGAAGTGCTTCTTGTTGTACCCAGAGATGTTCAAACCTCTTCTGTGCAAATCTCAGCTGATAAAGAATTACCCTTCCTCTCTCTACAGGATGCAAATGAGGACCCAGGGGAAGATGTCGCTCTGCTCTCTGTTAGTTTTGAAGACGCAGAAGCCACCCAGGTGTTCCCCAAGCTCTACCTGTCCCCAAGAGTTGAACAGTAAGTACTTTTTTTTTTCCAGCTCATCAGAAACGCAACACAATGATTTTAATTGACCCCACAGAAAGCAATGTTTCCTATTGACCTTGAATCTTAGCTGCATTGAACAATGCTGACAATTGCACTGGGGCACACTTAGGGGCTGATTTATAAATCTTCTGCTCAGCAATGCTCCTCAGCTCCATCTATTGGCAGCAGGGCTGTGCGAATGGCATTTGCCCAGCCATACATATCAGCCCCATGATATGTACAAGGCCCAATTAGAATATGAAGATGCAACAATGGCAACATCACTTAGAGAAGAAAAACTATATTTGATTAATTGCAGTCTTCTATATTTCATTAGTAGGATTGTGGTAAAATATTATCTTACTCCTAATGTGCCTATGTGTGTTCTGAGGTAACAGTGCTGAAGTGCTGCACCTTGTGGTGTCTGCAAGTACCTGTTTTAGCCCTAGTTCACACCTGAACGTTTTGTAGTGCGTTCTACGCTCGACGAACGCTCTACAAAACGCTCAAACATGAAAATCCCATTGTTTTCAATGGGTCTGGTTCACACCTTGGCGTATTTCAGCCCGTCCCTAACGCGCTACAAAATGGCCCACGCCTGAAAAGGTACATGTACTACTTTGGGTCGTTTTTGTTGCGCGTTTCCATTGGGATACAGCCAAGTAGCCCTCGGAAACGCGCGTTTGTCGCACGATTTTTTTACCGCGTAAAAAAACCGCGCGACAGACGCGCATATGCAATACGCCTAGGTGTGAACCAGGACTTAGTCTTCCAGTTGAGGTCTTCGGATCCTTAGGGCCTGTTCACATGAGATCAGGTCCTGATCAGGTCCTGATCAGCAGACATGGAGCTGCTGATGCAGTGCGTTTTTGGCCGCGGTTTTGATGCGTTCCAGAATGTTAGCTGCAGCGCAGTGCGTTTTTGACGCGTTTGCGTATCCGGACCGTTTCCGGACCTGACAAAATGTGACATGCAGTATTTTTTCTGTCGTAAGCTGAACGGACTGCGCACGTGAGAACTGGAGCCCATAAAACACATAGGGATACATTGGGATGCATTTTGAGTGCAGCAGCGTACGGAGCCGGTCAGCACACAAAACGGACATCGTGTGAACAGGCCCTTAAAGGAGAACTATGGGGTTAAGGCTTTTCCCCATAGTTCTCCTTAGGGTAACGAGAGGACACAAACTAGCGTCCTCCCGTCACCCTAGGCTCAGTATACCGCGAGCTGTAGCGCACGGTATACTGAGACGCCGCAGCTGAAGCAGATCCCGACAATTATGTCTGGATCCGCCCAGCTTCGTGACTGACAGCTGGCTCTTCCTATCTACAGGCAGAGCCAGCTGTACCCTCCCCCGTCCGTTCCGCCAGTCAGCGCTGGCAGATCGAAGCGGGGAGGGGGGAATCCAGTCCCTCCCCTGTCACAGCAGAGAGCAGTGACAGGATCGAGAGGTGAGCGAACGCCGGTATGTGTTTGCTCACCTCCCGATCTACTGAGCCGACCTGTGACAGTCTCGTTGTCACTGGTCGGCTAGAACTATGAGGCGAGTGAAAAGCACTCATCTCATAGTTCTCCTTTAACCAGGGTTAGGGTCTAGGATCCAAAGCTCTGCCCCTCCTACCTCTTGAGGTCTACTAATGTTAATAAACTGTCAAATGCTAGAATTTCTACAGCCCACTGGTGTTCTGTTATCTAATAGCAGAATTACAAGGCTGGCATTCAGTCTTCACTTGGGAAGAACTCAAAAGCCTCCTGAACAGTCAGGAACTAAGATCCAAAGAGCTCTACAGGGACACATGAATCACTTTGAAGATGCCCATCCGGTCCTAGCCATTCAAAGAAAAACTTTTCTCGTGTGACGTTCTGTGGCACCTTTTCTAGTAATTCAGAGCGGGAATTAGCTGCACTCTAAGCCAACCCATCTGGTTATGTTGTTGCCTTTTGCATCATGGCGTCTCTGTGGACCCTGTGAGGGCCATGTGATTGACTTCTAGCCTATGGGTAGTGTCCATGTCAGCCGGAACCGACTTTGATACTGCAAGAAGGACCCTCCCACACTACTGGGCAGACCAGAAGAAAGAAATGGGAACCAGCATGTCATGTGACTGCAGTTTTAGATAAGTACTTGGGACTTTTAGTTAAAGTTTTAGAAAAAGATCAAAAGTTCACCAATCCCTGCCATAGAGAGCAATGGCTGCCTCTGTCCTGAACTTCACTTGTACACTGGGAGCAACCTTTGCTTTCAATGCCTGTTCTGGAGACACCCACACACACAATTCTCTTGTGCTGGTTTCACCAGAACAGGAAGTAAGGAAAATCTTCCCAGTGAGGGACACAGACAGAAATAATACACTGGGAAAAAATGTTAAAGCTGAACTCTGGCCTTCCCTTCAGTCTTGCACAGTTGTACAGGCTCCTCTCCTGGAATCAATTGGCTCCCTCTGATATCACTGCACACTGTGACTGTGACGGACTGCACGGCACCCCTGCTGGGTGCCTCCGTCACAGTGACCGTCTCACAATGTGCATTAGAAGCTGCAGCAAGTCAGATAAAGCTTGACTCATTTCTTGCCTGGAGGACGCCAGGATAGTCCTTTCCTCCCCAGCCTGACTGCCTCTGGCCCAACCCTTTCATTTACCAGATTCCATTTATTTTAATCATGGAGGCCCGGCATCACATGTGGGTGTTACATAGGGTGACCTGCATGCAAATTGAATCTGTTAAGCAACGCCCACTCCTCTAGACTGACAACCGGCCATTAAGCATTTTTAATATTTGCGTAACTCCTCCCAAGGTCAGCCCACTGCTTGCATCCGAGGTCATGAGAGGAGTACTGAGGCAAGGTGCTGTGATGTTTTCAGGAAGTTATGTACAGCACCCTGCTGGCCCCTCCCACCAGCCATAATCTGCCTGCATTGCACAAAGAAGCAAAGAGACCGAGCGGTGATGACTCTGGGTCTAAAATAAGTCATGTAATGAAAAAGCAAAGGTTTTATTTAAAAGATGTGTTAGCACGTTGATGGGGTGAGCAGGAAATCCAGTGAAGGCAAAATGTAAGCAGATTAAACTTTAGTTTTAACTCTTTCCAACTGTATTCACAAAATACGAGTTAGACTTTAATCTAGACACTGAGAGAATGAATAATTGACTTTCTCTATGGGGGGAATTTATCAAAACTGGAGCAGACAAAATCTGGAGCAAATTTGCACTGCAACCAATCAGCTTCTCTGTCTCATTCTCAAATCTTACCTGAGCAAACTGAAGAGAGATGCTGATTGGTTGCCATGGGCAACTGCTCCAGGTTCTCTCTGCTCCAGTCTTGATAAACTCCTCCCTTTGTCTCTCTTATTTGACCTAATAGGCGTTTTAGGTTTTCTTTTTAAATTGTTCTTTTATACCAAGCAGATCGTCATCGAGGTTTACTGACTTTTGTGTTGCGTCACTAGCGGCAGTGACCCCGGCCACTCTATATGATTCCATTATGGGGTATTCCAGGACGGTGGTACAGCGATAAATATTGAGGGTTTACAGGAGTCTGGCGAGTTAAATAAACAGAGGAAACATAATGCACATCTCTTTTATGAAGCTTGTAATAAATCTTGTTCCTACCACAGAGAACAAAGAGGGTTCTTGTTTAACGGCCCTGTTTACCTATTCTTCAGGAACATGCTGCTGCTGTATAACCGCTTGCTTACATGTTCAGGGAAATGGTCTGCATTCTGTGCCAGTTTCTTTCTTAACACTTCCCGGGCCGTACTTCCACCCTCTGCCCTCGCAGTATAACTGTGGCCTTCTGCCACTGGCAATGTGATCCGTTTTCCTTTCAATGTCTCATTCCATCTCCTACTTTTTGCTTTCTTATTTACTTAACCTCCCTGGCGGTATTCCCGAGTGTGGCTCGGGGTTAATTTTCAGTACCAAAAAGCGGTAACCCCGAGCCACACTCGGGATTACACTGTAGTTGTCCCTACGAGCCCCTGGTGTCCACCCGCTGTGTCCTCTGGCAAATGCCGGCATTCGTCTTCCGGGTTCCTTCCCTGCGAGCGCCGGCGTCGCAGGGGGGCGGAACTGTCTGGAAATTCAAAAGTGAGCACAACATGACATACACACAATACATTGTAATCTGTTATGATTACATTACTGTATCAAACCATTTCACCTCAGTTTTGTCCTTAGAGCTTTGTCCAGTGCCCTGCTCTAGGGACAAAACCGTTCTTTCTGCCTGGAAACTTGAGAACGTCCATGGCATCCACAAATACTGACATAATCAGACCGCAAGGGAGGTTAAAGTAACGTTACAAGTCTGCATGAGTACATTCCATCCATGAGAATATTTCAGAGGTGTGGGGAGGAGCCTCTTGCTATCCTTTATGATAGACCTAACTTGATTTGTAGGTGGCTTAGTAGCTCATTAGCTTACGGTTAGGCAGCTCAAGGACGCACAGGGTGCTAAGTGTTATCCTGGACTCTGACCTCTCCTTTAGGACCCACATCCAATCAGTAACCAAATCTTGCCGTCTTAAGCTCTGTAACATTTCCAAAATTCTTCCCTTTTTAACATATGACACCACAGTGCTACTAATTCACTCTCTGGTCATCTCTCGCCTTGTCTACTGCAACTCCCTTCTCATTGGCCTACCTCGGCACAGGCTATCCCCCCTCCTTCAGTCTATCATGAATGCTGTTGCCAGACTCATCCACCTTACCAACAGCTCAGTGGCCACCACCTCTCTCTTCCAATCCCTCCATTTCCAATAGCACAATGCATAACATTCAAAATATTACCAAGCCATCCACAACTATGCCCCCGGCTACATCTCCAACCTCATCTTAAGATATCAACCAAACTGTCCTCTCCGCTCCTCCCAAGACCTCCTGCTGTCTAGCTTCCTCATCACCTCCTGCTATACTCACCTCCAGGACTTCTCCAGAGCCTCTCCCATCCTCTGGAACTCCCTGCCAAAACCTATCCAGCTATCTCCTAATCTGT